ATCTGAGCCTTTGCTTTTAACCCGTCATCTAACATTCGATAGGTAGAGTTCCAACGAGTCTCTACATCATATTCAATGAATTTTTCCGAGAGATTCATGAATTGACAGACTTCTTTCCATTTCTGCCGTCTCTGTGGGCTCCGGTCAATCCAGAGAGCGAGAATTCGGAGCTTAGACAATGCTGTCTGACTCGATATAGATCCCCCAGCGTATAAGCTATCACAGATGGTGTATGCCTCTTCCACGCTTCCTGATTTCAAGGCGCGAAGGATATCTTGAACGATTAAGTTCAAAATATGGGCCAGGCAGCGGATGTAGCTGTCCACTCCGCGGAATAGAAGCCCGTTTGGGAGCGTCTCTGCGCCACATTTTTCGTTCAAGGTATGGAACAATTCTGAGGCCATAACTTCATTGTTACGGGCATTGTCTCCAGTAATTGTAATCAACTTTGATGTTAGATCCAACTCCACGAGAGTAGCATTAACAGCTGTCGCAAGGTTTTCTCCACTGTGTACTCCACGGAGTTCACAGAATTCTAAGGTCCGTTCCTGATATTCGAACGTCTCCGTGAGCCAGTGGCCGATTATACCGAGAATGGGAAGGTGGTTTTTGCTCGTCCATATGTCAAGCGACAAGGGAATAGTTGTGCAGGTTACGGAAAGCTCCTCCTTCAATTGAAGACGCTGCATATTAAAGCTTTCCATAAGCCGCCGTCGTAGGGTAGACCGTGAAGAGAACGGGAGTGAGATACCTGGAATATCTCGAAAGATTTGCTGGAAAGCTGGCGATTCGATGGTAGTAAAAGCTTGTTTATCATGGATAACCCATTGAAGAATATTCCGCTCAAGAAGTTGTTGGTGTGATAAGGTCTCTTTCCGAGTAAGAAGGCTAATAACGCTTGCCTGCTTCTTTGGAAGGGGTTCATCTTGAGAATGAGGGGAATAGATAGAGTGCTTTTTGTGATGCTGCTGCATATTCGAAGTAGATGTCTGCCGTAATGAATCTGAGGTCGTCCAAGGACATTGGATGCCAGTCTTCTCATTAATAAAAGCACATCGAATCTCTATATCTGTAGTTTGCCGCTTTCCTGACCGCTTTATAACCCATTCGCGAGCTACTTCAGTCGTTTGGAAATAATCCCACATCCACGCTGTAGTAGGCGCTGGGCGTTTCCGGGGCAGGATCGAGGATGATACTATTGGTGCGGAATGAGTCAGGGCCTGTGAAACTGACTCTGAGGGCAGGACTTCAGTTGATGATAGATTGACAAAAGATTCAAAATTGGATTCCGTTATTTGATCTTCTGGTAAAGTTTCATCGTATCCATCATTAAGTAAGAGGTAATTCTGTTGGTTATGGCGGGTAACCATTGCTCTATTCTCATTCAAAGCCATGATGGTTATGCTGCCAAAAAAAGTCTAGAAAGTTATCATTCAATGTAAAATATATGTAGAATCTATAATATTGCGCGTAATAGACATTATTACCGTCGCTGCGAGAAGATATACAGGAGAGAATACCAAATTAGGACGAACTCATGATTTAGCGCCAATATCGGAGACGATAATCGTATCGGCGACGATCTTGCCGATATTTATTCGCATTCGCCGTGTCTCTGCGGATACGATTGGCCGATATAAATCGGCGGGATCCTTCCTCACCGATACAATAACCGATATGGCAAGATCGTGACGATATCGTATCGGGAACACCCCTAAATTAGCCTCCTCCTTCGTTAGATTCCCCGTACGAAAGCGCTTCTCACAATAAACTCTTGCTGTCGTGGCTCATATATTCTCCTTGTACTCGTTACTCGGCCATCTGGTGTTGCAAGGGCTCGTTGTGTCGCTGCATTTAAACGGTTATTCAGCTCGATCGTATGCTCTAGAGTATAGAGAGCGGCGAACTAGGAGGCATTTCTTCACGGTCTGATGGCAGTACTTAGTAGGAACAACTCGAGTAAATTATCTCTATATTATTATCGAGACAGGCTCGTTCTATCGAGAGAGGAGGGGAGGGGAGGGGAGAGGGGAAAATGCCTGAGCTAAGCACCACCAAGTCACAGCTATACCGTATGGAGCGATAGTTACCACGGACGCTTTACTGCAAAAGGCTTAACGCTGCGCGATTTCTTCGCCAGTAACCCAGCCACCACGAAGACTTTCAGATAAGTGCATATCAACCAGGTGGCTCGGCGGTTGGTTGCGCAAAGGCTGGGTTATCATGCGCCTTGGCACGCCATAACCCGTGGCGCTGACCCTTGATAACTTCATCTGGCTACTAGCTAGATATCTTTTCCTAGACAATGGGAATCGTTAATACCAATTTGCGTTATGACTCTACAGTAACTGAGCCTAAGCAGCAATCGTGCTTAATCATCATTCCCGCATAAATGCGACACTTGGCCCATCATTCTTGTAGAGATGAGAAGCAAGGGATCCTATCGGACCATACGGCAACAATCCTTCAACGCCTCAAAGCACGAAAAGTACAACCGTGACAATTAGAGCTCCGAAATGAATAAATGAATACGAATATGGCCCTTATTCATATTCGTATTCATATTTATTCATATATCTCTCCGGGAATTTGTTGTTCCGGGCCGACCCGTTTCCTCTTCCTATAGTTATGTGCTATCGTCTTGCTTGTCAATAGACAGATTTCAGTCCAGTTCCTATGCCAGAACATAGGCAGGTGTTTTTTGCGCTGCTTTGAGCCGTGCTGCGAATAGCCATGAATTTGGATCCTATATATCCCGTATGTCTAGGTACGGGGCCCTATTCAATTGCAGGTAGAGAGCGATTGAAAGATTGCCTCTCATTCCCAATATCATTTTTATTCAAATTTCTGCGCAAACAACCTCTCAAACGTCAACGCTGTCTAAATCCTCCAAAACCTATTGAATAACTATCAAATTTGCACTGGGAATAAGTTACATGAGTTGACACGTTAATGACGCGTCAAATCATGTACTCGACTATTGGTGATAGAGAATGGCGGTTTGTTTACTTGAAGCCGCGAATCCTGGATTTTTATGACAGGCCTATCGCGTTAACGATCCTACATATGCTGCCGTTTAATCCTATTCAATAAACAACACTATCGATTTACTTAACATCTATGAAGTCTAGGATCGTGGCAACGAGCGTGATTTCCTACATAGCATGGCTTAATCTAGCATCGACTTCTCCCGAAGTACACGAAAAGCCCCTTGATTATTAGAGCTATATTAACAGTCCTAAGCACTCCTTGACATGTTATAGTAATGAGGCTTTAGATGTTATAATTTTATTTGCCTAGATCTATGTGAAATATTCATGAATAATATGAATATTCATGAATATCGCGAATATGAATATAAGGCGTATTCATATTCACTGTGATGGATCAGAGGTCCGCAGACCTGGATGCCTTGTGGCCCTGTGGCCCGTTTGCTCTGTAAACACCAGAACAGATAAACGCCTCGCACACCTTAGATAGATTCCTCCTTCATAGCAACAATTCAATGTTTGCCTCACGATTGGAGATTCCCGACAGTGAGACTCTTACACTTTGTTGCTATCTTCTCTATGAGTGTTTACTCATTCGGAATACATTGATTGATTGAGAATCATTGAAATCAGCAGTTCAGTACTCTGATTAGTCACGCTGTGACTAGGAC